TATTAAAGGCTTTAACGCTTGTTTTCGACTCGCACTACTATACATGATTGAACAAAACTTTTGGCAGGTACTGTATGAAAAAGTATGTTTAATGAAAAAGAATTCAGAGTATAATGAGCTTTTTATTCCCTACCTACGATTATGCCAGCGCGCATCCAAGACATTGGAAGGGGCACATCGCTACAGAAAGTAAATGAAGTATACCTTTCGTATACTTTCTCTAGAGATGTGCCCCTTCCAGTGTCTTGGACGCATGTTGGCAAAATCCTAGGTGGGGAGAAAAGAGCTCATTATACTCTCGACTCAAACATACTTTTTCGTACAGAACCTGCCAAAAGTTTTGTTCCATCATGAAAAGTAGTGCGAGTCGAAAACAAGCGTTGAAGCCTTTAATATGTCTCTCGTTGATATTTTCAGTAGTAATTGGCACCAATAACAGCACATTTGAGCAATGCAATTGTAGTGGATAAAAGAGTCAAATTTTCCGTGCAGTACTGTATGGATTATACGCTCTTCACCGGTTGAGAGTTTGGCCGAGAGTTGTCTCCTTTCTTTTCTGGCCTAGTGCTGTTCTTTTCTATTCTGCGCCGGTCAAACTGAAGGTCACATCGCTACAGAAACTACACGATGTGTACAAAGTAATGCATGATGTAAATTATTTCCGTATCTTAGAAGTACTACCTAATAAGCATGTTGTAGAAAGTAGAAACTTTTTTTATGACGCGCAGAATTTATTCCAGACTAACTTTTACACACTCGCCGCACCCCATTGTAAAAGCGAAATTCCGAATCCGGAATCGCAAAAATATTCGGCAACAATTCCGCATCAGAATTACAAAAGGAGTTTTTTCCCTAGTCAACCGTTAATTAAGAGCAGCTCTTTTTCATTAAAGACGAAGCAGAAGAAGCATTTTCAGGTACCGCTCCAAAAATGTCACAGCTTCAAGTCCCAATCGAACGAGAATTACTTCCAACCGATAAAAAACAAACACGAAGAGAAATACATGCAACCGCCTCATCATCCGTCCAAATCGTTAGGTACCTGGAGCGATACCGAAAGACAAACGCACAGTCGGAATTATCGGAAAAATATAGAAAAATACAAAAGTGACAATTATAACGGATTCAATTCGTCCAATAGCAGTGGCAGCTGCAAAAGTACCGAAGGTGCCGATAACCACCATCACTCGTCCCGGTTAAAATATCCGCAACCCTTTTACGGGACAAAAACAAACGAAACTCTGTATAAGTCAAACGGAGTCGTCTATGCGGATTTAGATATCTACAAAAATAATGGTAGTAAAAGCAGCCCGGATATGAAAAATTCATTCTCTAAAAGTAAACCAAAGACTGAATATGCTATTTTAAATTTTAGAGACGTAGGACGAGAAATCGACGTATAATAAATGATCAGCTTTGTGCAGTGACGCTAACAGGTTTGTGTTGCTTCCATACTAACATCTTGACGTTCCAAAGTCAATCTTCTATGTCGCAATATCTCGTTATTATTTATTCTTTTCAAAATAGGTTAACATTCGATTTCAGATAAGGCAGATTTATATTGAAAATTAAAATAGAACCAGTCCTTGATATGTATCCGTCTGGGTTATTTTGAAATGTTTTCAGATTGCAACAGCAGTTTAGACATCAAAACGAACAGGATGATTTAACCACGCAAGGATTTTAGTTAAATAAGTTAAAAAAACTCACAATATGTATAAACAGTAATACGTTGCCCCGAAAGTAGGTACAGCAAATGCGCTTCTACGTGACACAATAAAAAAGCAATAAAGGTGAGACGGTCGATAAGTGCTAAGAGAAGACCCTTATCCCACGCAAGGCAATCCGATTTTGCTAGAAGTTGCCCGGTAATGGTTGCCGTTACCTTTATCACATATAGTTGTTCTCTTCTAGTACCTACGTGCAAAGAAGAAAACGAAAATGCCGGTGATGGATATGGTACCGGAAATGTACGAAATCTGTCATTGTATACCATTCCTATGGACCTTGCTGAAGCATACGTAATCCTAAAATGTAGTTCTGTACTACAGATGGCGTTTACAGCGCCATTTGTCGTATTTTCTAACACGCGCTGTTATGGCAGCAGGTAAAAGTTGGTCTGTGTTCTGTCGGAGCTGCCTGCGACGCGCTGATGAGTTCCAAAAAGATCGAAATCGCGATCCGCTTCTGGCAGTTTCGACAGAATACAGACCACTTCGAATTATTTTATTCGATTATGGTAACGTGCCTATCATGTTGAGGTTAGCTACGCCAGGATTAGTTTCAGCAAGTAGATATCCATATATTTAAATGGACCTTGTTGGAGCATATGTAATCCTAAAATGTAGCATTGTACTACAGATGGCGTTTACCGCGCCATTTGTGGTATTTTCTAAAACGTGCTGTNATTATAAGAAAAGAAGAGTTTTCAAGTTGAAATTTAAAGAAATCTATAACTGTGGAAAGAGTTCTTTTCAGAACTTATTGGGAAACTTAAAAGACCGTAATTATAGAAGAGGTAATTTTGATGAAATTAGCTTTATAGTGCAATAAAACGTATCTATTCCATTTTCGACATAAGCTCTGTGTACAATTCTTATTTACCTTTTTAACCATTTTTAACAAATTGTCGATGATTGATCGTTTCAAGGTAGCATCCATGGTGGGAGTCATCCAATTGTAACTAGCGGTCAGAACATTTTTATAGTTCAAACTATCAAACAATTTTTTTAAAATCTGATGGCGATCGCGTCTTCTTTAAGGGTCAAATAATTAGAGCCACATCGGTCATTGGAAATAATAATGCCATAAACAACTCCAAATCCTTACAGGAATACTACAAATAATATCGTCGTTCAGATATTGGCATTTTTTTCCAATCTCACTGAAATATGTAAACTTGTAGTTTATGGCATACGAATGTTCTCTAAGTATTACAGTTTATATTTCTGACCATTGTCAATTTCTTCCTAGCGAAGGATATCGGTCGTACATACGTATATGTATTAATAATCGGAAGCAGTTAAAAGAAGGTTCCATTTAATGAAATAGAATTTCCGGTCGGTTTTATGTTCTCGGTATGCGTTTAATTGGGAAAAATATGGCCGTAAAAATCAGTTAAACGTGAATTTATTAAATACCTAGCAATCAATAGAATGGCCTTTCGTACAAGCGGCAGATGTTTCGCTCAAATGTGACCCAATTTTGAACCCTTCCTCTTACCTCTTTTTCAGCTAGCTAAACTGCTGAACTGTCATGCGGCATGTGTTCCCCCCGTATAAAAGCTCATATTACTTCTATTGATGTCACCCATACTTACCAAGCCTAAAATCGCTTTAATAAATCACTGGGTGTTCAAATTTAGACATGCACACCAAACACCATTAAACTTAATGCCGTTTTCTAAACCAACAGCAGCATATGTTTAATATTATAAGTGTCCCATTTTAATAAAAAAATGTTTATCAAAAATACCACCAGTGCATACGTGAGCTCCATGTACACATTTTCTGCGTAAAAATTCATAATTTTTTGCTAGATATTTTTGAAATAAACTTATTCTTGCATTTTGTGGTAAAAGCAGTAACATTGCCACTATGGAGTGCTGTTTGGCCAGTTTCCGTACCAGCTGCTGCGAAGGTCACGAGTAGGTGCGTATGTTTCGTCACTTGACGCTGACTTACCTTAAAGTCATATCAACATACAACATACCTTTAGTTAGCATTACTTATTAGTACCTAATAAGAATATGTACCTGTCATAATTTTTTGGGATCACTTCTAAATTTTTGGTTTTGAATATAAAGCAATTCAAAAAGTGTGGGTGGAATATATTTGTCCAGTCACGTGCATTTGAAAATATTTCCTGCTTCTGTGAAAATTGCCCTAAAGTATCCAAATTCTCAAAATCTTTGGAATAAATCGCAACACTTCCAAACGTTTTTAGTTTCATTTAAATTTTGTGAAACTATTTGAAGGGAAGATGCACATGCTTGATCCCTGGCTTCAATTAAGTCATCATTCGCAAAGCGGCGCTCCTTTAGCTTATACTAATCACAAGGAGCGAGATCGGAACTGTAGAGGGGTGGCTCAGCAGAGTAAATCCACAAGCTTTCAGGAAATCGGTTGCTTTTTAGAGTTCCTAGACTTGTATATTTTCAACATGTCCCGACACCATTGGTGAGTAACTCAGATGATACACCCTTCTTTAAATGAATCCGTAATACTTCCTCAATCTGTCTGTATATAGTTCTTTTATTTTCAGTCACGAATTCCTCCACAGCGGCTACATATTTCTTCGTAATACATTCAGGAGCCCTTTCCGATCGTTCTTCCTCCTCAAGATTAAACAAGCCCTGTTCAAACTGTTTGTATCACTGGTACACTATGCTATGGCTTGGGTAAGCCTCTCCAAAAATAGGTGTTACTTCATTAACACACTTTTCAACACTCACATCATGGTTAAAATTGTAAAGTACAGTCACACGAAAATCTCAACGTATTAACTCTGCTATTGCGAACACTTCAGCGGACAATAGCTCAATAAAGATAACCAAATGTGGCCTATAATATTCTTTATCTGACAATTACAGTATAGACACGATTATCTGGATCCCAGTCGTATGGATTCCAGATTATCCGGATTGCCAACACCTAGCAAATATCTTTTTAGTCTAGTTGCAATGTAGCCATGTTAGAGATTGCAGTATACTTTTGAAGTGAAACTTCTATACAGACGACGGGGTATTACGATTTTAAAGTGAAACTTCTATTACGTTTTTTTCTGTCACGAAAAAGCGTTACGGTCGCGTGGAGAGGATAGACGGTATATCGCGTGGAGAGAGGCCGCAACGGCGGAGGGAAAGATAGGTTGGTGGCGGCGGAGAGAGGGCAACGGTTCTATTAGATGTATATAATGCGCAGCCACGTGGAGAGCGGAAAGACTACTAGAGTCCCGGTGGCGTGTGCTGTGCTCAGCTGTTGTTTTCTTACCTCTGCTCTCTACGTGGCTGGGCATCATTACCTCTATTTGCGGTCAGTCTAAAAACGAAATGTATGCTGGGACACATAGAAGTGAAACTTCAACGGACAAGTGGAAAAATGAATGGCAACAAAATTTTTATTTTAAGTTTTAGGGACAGGTTTTGAAATTGAACAAGTACATTAACGATCTGCTAGTAAAACTTGAATTAGTTCTGTTAATTGAGTTTCCACATAATCACCAGTTTAATCAAATTTACCATAACATATAGATAAAATTCTGATATATTGTTCAGCGCCAATTACGGTGACGTCTATATGCGACAATAATAGATTATAACGAGTTTCTTAAAAGCAAGCTACTAACCATTAACAAGCGAATTCTTTTTAAAAGATGATATATCATTTAAATAGCCCATTTCGAGGTAGCAGCTTTCAGAAATACATACCTATATTTTTGTCAAAAATGAGTCAGTTAGAATCGAGGTACCTAATTTTAAGTATGTCTCTTATACGGTAACATTTCATCCTCTAAAATGCTCTTCTTTGCCTTTATCATTTGCAAAAGATACATAAATCCTTATTTATTCAAAATAAATGTCAACGAGATTTACGGCAAAGTAGTGTAGAAAGGCAGTTTGCATCATCTTCGTTAAATATTATATGAGTATGTTACCTTCGTAAATGTTCTCCATTTTGTGAGCAATATTTTGTCTCATAAAAACTTCATTAGCATGAAATTATGGTGACGTATGTAGACATGCAATTAAAAACAGTTCTAAGCGTACCTAATATTAGTAGCTACAACCCTTGCACCTACATAGCCCACGTGCATTAATTACCAGTGAGGCACCCAGGCCCTAGCAAAGTATTTTCTTGGAATAACCAACTCCAGTACTTTATTTTTCCAACTATTTTGTTGATGGGTAATTCTACTCATGAAGGAAGAAAAAAAGGTGAATAACGGAATCACATTTTTTTTATATGTAAGTATTGGCAGGTAGTTTTTTTTTTCAAGTTTAGGACATTTTTCACACTCTCTGAAAGTGGCCAGTCAAAAAATTAAAAATTATGAATTTTATGGCCATTAAAAAGAGACATATCCAGGAAAGTAAAAAAATTAATTTAAAACTAACATTAACACAGAAGAATTTCTCTAATCAATTTTTATTACTCAATCTAGGTTAACAATTCATTAGGACATTTTTCACACTCTCTGAAAGTGGCCAGTCAAAAAATTAAAAATTATGAATTTTATGGCCATTAAAAAGAGATATATCCAGGAAACTA